AAAATTCATATGAACATCCATTAAAGAACCAAAAGATTTTTGAATCTAAAGAATTTTTATGTCCTACGTATTCTCAAAGGATACTTATTATCAAGTCTGTCACCAAATAAAATTGAGATTGACTCTCCATCATTTTTAGAACATATTCAAAATGATATAAACAGATCAATTCATCCACCATATGAACTATTTAGATATTTTATGATTTTAATAAATGCATCCACAAGATGACCACATGTATACTTATTATCAACTTGAAACTTGGCATTTTTGAGGTTGTTTGCTCAAATAATTCAATTACGAGAATAATTTACAGATTATACCATTAAAATAATTCACTTTGACAATATTAGTGAATTTACCTCTCAAGCATTTAATGATTATTGCATGTCTATTGGAATAAAGGTTGAATAGTCGATTGCTCATGTTCATACTCAAAATAGTTTAGCATAATCATTTATCAAAATCCTCCAATTGATAGCTAAACCATTACATATGAAAACAAAACTCTTTGTTTATATTTGGAGACATGTAATTTTACATATAGCAACACTTATTCATATTAGGTCCATAAGTTATTAGAAATTCTTCCTTCTTTAATTAGTTTCTAGTCATGAGCTTAATATTTCTCATTTAATAATTTTTGAACGTGTAGTATACGTCTCTATTACTCCTCCACAATGAACTAAAATGGTTCCTTAGAAGTGATTGAGAATATATATTGGATATGAATCCTCTTTTATTATTAAATAACTTAAACCATTAAAAGAGTATGTTTTCACGAGCTTGATTTGTCAATTGTCATTTTGATGAAATAATTTTTCTAACATTAAGAGAAGAGAATAAACAAAATAAGTGGTTAAAAATGCTTGGTAAAAGAGATTAAATATAATACTTCATCTTTACATCATCTTGATCCTCATATAAAACTATGTGAAATTGAAGTTCAAATGATAATTCATTTACAAAGTCCCGTAAATCAATTGTCATATACATTCTTTGATCCAGAGAGAGTAACTAAATCACATGTTCCAGCTAAGAATGCTCTTATTAAAATCGATGTCCCAATAGGATCACCTATTAATGTTATAGAAAATAAAGCTAAAGCACGCTTAAAGCTTCGAAGACTAATCGATTTTAAAGACAAAGATCCTTGATAAAATAAAAAATAAAAAAAAAGAGAAAATAATCAAGATGACAAAATAAAAGCGATATATATTCAGAAAAAAATATAAGATATTTTTAATACAGAGCTTTCGAAGAGTCTAAATGTTAAAAATCGAGAAATTTTGATAAATTATGTCAATATAGAAAGAAAATTAGACAAAAAAAAACATTCATTGATAAATTTTTTGCATATAACGTTGCAATTGCTATTTTGAATAAGGATCACAAGCTTAAATCTATTGAAGAATGTCAGCATAGAGATGATTGAGCTAAATGAAAAGATTTAATCGAAGCGGAATTAATTTTTCTCATAAAACGAGTAATTTTTGGACCTATAGTCAAAACACTTGAAGATATTAAACTAGTATGATATAAATGGGCATTTGTGTGAAAAAAAAATTAAAAAAAATTAAATTATAAGATATAAAGCAAGACTTCTAGCACAAGGATTTTCACAAAGACCTAGCATTTATTATAAGGAGACATATTCTCTTGTAATAGATTCAATTATATTCCGTTATCTCATTAGCTTGACAACATATGAAAAATTTTATATGTATTTGATCAATGTGATCACAAGCTATTTATATGGTTTACTTGATAATTATTTTTATATAAAAGTCTCAAAAGGACTTAAAACACTTGAAACATGTAAAATACATTCTCGAGAAATGTAATCAATTAAATTATAAAGATCTTTATATGGATTAAAACAATTTGGGTGCATGTGGTACAATCATCCTAGTGAGTATTTGTTGAATAAAAGTTATAAAAATGATCATTATTGAAATTCTTGAAGAGATTTCAAGTGCCATAAGTTATTTAAAAAGAGAATTTGACATGAAAGACCTAAAAAACAAATTTTTTTCTCGACTTATAGTTTGAACACTTAGAGGATGTAATTTTTATTTATTAGTCAACTTATATAGAAAAAAGCACTACAATGATTCTATGTGGATAAGACTCATCCATTGACTATTCCAATTGTAGTTCATTCACTAGTCCAATTATAGTTCATTCACTTGATGTCTAAAAGGACCTTTATTGGCCTTAAAAAGATATCGAAGAACATCTTGATCATAAAGTACCATATCTTAGTACAATTGGTGCATTAACATATCTTATTAATAATACCCGAACTAATATAGCATTTTTTATAAATTTATTTGCAAAATATAATTTTGCGTTAACACACGGACATTGGAATGGTATTAAACGTAGTTACTGCTCATGAATTGCTATTATTTCTATATTTTTCAGAATTAAACACAATTCTACTCGGAAAATGTAAAAAGACTAACAATTAATGAGGTAAGTCCGGAATGTATTTAGTTAAGATCAATGATTTATCATATTCAAAAAACATATGATTTAGCTACTAGTATAGAAGTTTCAACAATTTGTATAAAGATATTACTGCTTGCATAGCTCAATTAAAAAGAGGATACATCAAAAGTAATAGGATGAAACATATATCACCAAAATTATCTTTCCTACATGATCTTCAATGATATGGTGATATTAATGTTCAACAAATTCGATCAAGTGATAATCCAACATATTTGTTCCACTAAGGTATTACCTACCACAATTTTTAAGAAGATGATTCACAAGATTGGAATGTGTTGTCTTAGAGATCTTAAATAATATTTTCAATAGAAAGAACCCAACATGAGAATTAATGTATACAAGAAATATTGTACCATTTCTTTTTTATTAAGATTTTTTCTCACTCGGGTTTTTTTCTAATAAGGTTTTATTTAGAAATGTTCCTTCTACAATGTACCTTCAATGAGACGTATTGTGAAATAATGAATATCCATATGAATATTCATATTTTTTTAAAATCCTTATTACTAATAATTCTTAATATGATTCAATTCACCATTCAAAAATTGAAAAGATGATATTATTGATTCAACTATTTATGTACTTTTTAATTATTTTCTTAATTTTAAAACTTATAAATAAACTTTATTGTTCATTAATTTATGGAAAAGTGTTTTGTAGACATTGAGAAATTTTTTTACGGTTGTTATCTTTTACGTTAACTTTATTTTATAATAAAATCATTATTATTTATGGAAAATCATTATTTTTTTATGTTAACTTTTTAATTAAGATTTTTTCTCACTAGGTTTTTTCTAATAAGGTTTTAATAAGAAATATTCCTTGTACAATGGACCTTCAATAAGACGTATTATCAAATAATGAATATCTATAAGAATATTCATTATTTTTTCATATTCTCACTATTCATAATTCTTAATATGATTCAATTCATCATTCAAAAATTGAAAAGATGATACTATTGATTCAACTATTTATGTACTTTTTAATTATTTTCTTAATTTTGAAGCTTATAAATAAACTTGATTATTCATTAATTTGTGAAAAAGTGTTTTGTAGAGATTGAGAAATTTTTTTACGATTGTTATCATTCACATTAACTTTATTTTATAATAAAATCTTTATTATTTGTTGAAATTTTTTTTTTTTTGTGTTAACTTTTTAATTAAGATTTTTTCTCATTAGGTTTTTTCTAATAAGGTTTTAATAAGAAATGTTCCTTATACAATGGACCTTCAATGCGACGTATTATGAAACAATGAATATCCATATGAATATTCATATTTTTTTCATATCTTCACTACTCATAATTCTTAACGTGATTCAATTCATTGTTCAAAAATTAAAAAGATGATACTATTGACTATTTATGTACTTTGTAATTATTTTCTTAATTTTAAAGCTGATAAATAAACTTGATTGTTCATTAATTTATGAAAAAGTTTTTTTTATAGATATTGAGAAATTTTTTTACACTTGTTATCCTTTACGTTAACTTTATTTTATAATAAAATCATTGTTTTATTATCTTTTCACCTATCCTTCTTACTGTTATCGGAATAATCTTTTGAAATCATAATTATGTTTCAACATTTATACCTCTTTTACGAAAATCACATTTTTGGAGTTAGTTATGAGAAGGAAGTAACATTTCAAAATCTAAAGTACTTCATGTTGAATGAATTTCGAATTACTTGCTTTCCCTCCATTAGTTATTCTGCTAACCTTTACCCTATACCAGACTCTGCAAGCTCTTAAATCTTTTCGACTTGCTGACTTGTCCTTATCGCTATTGGGGCAAAATTCTCAAGTATAACAATCACATAACTGAAGCCTAGGTCAGTATGAAACTATGAATAACTACTCAAAAGATGATCAGTAGAGATATAATCCTCATCACCAATGTCGTCAATATAATGGTAAGCTGGTTATGGAGCCATGGCCACCGTTAAATAGTAAGGAACTGAAACTGCAACAATGACGATTTGCTAATCTGATTGTTCTTCATTTTCATCTCTGTTCCGACCAAGTCCCATGCCCTTGCCCCCTAACAGTCGACCGAAATGTTCACCCCTACAACACAATGAATTGAATAAGATTGGTGCTGCCTTTTTAATTACAAAAATAAAGTATTGACCCCTATCACGGACAAGAATTTGACAATTGCCCTGCATTTTCTGCAGTAGCTCATCTTGACCTGGCAAAACTTTCATCCATTCTATAACCGAAACGTGCACTACCATGATTAATACATTTCAATTACAGGGCAATCATAAACCGCACACCCAATCACAAGCAACAGTAGCCTGACATTATAATAAACCCAAAGCCTTTCCAAATCTTTCCTCCGATTTGTGCCCACTGGAAAACCAAGATGCTATGGATGAGCAGGAGATGGGATTGAAGGATTCCATAGAAAACTGGGCAACGCCATGGAATCTAGCAGGATAAACTTCATCCACAGTTTTGAGGTCATCCGCATTCTATGCTTCAGCTGCAGCTACTACTTCTTCATCAGTAGAATCAGGTGAGATGATTTCTTGAGTAGATTCCCCATCTGTAGACCCATCTCTCAGTTCTCGATCTGTCTCAGCTTCAAGTAGCTTCTCCGTAAGCTTCAATATAAGCTCTTCCTGCACATCATCATTATGAGCTAGAAACTCCTTCAAGGCTTCCTTGCCATGGTATTTTCGACCATTACAATCATAAAAGGAGCCATTTTTCTTGATGAGTTTGTGTTTCAACGCCAATTCTATGATCTCTGATTCACGACTTATTCCCTTTCCAAACTCAAGCTCAAATTGAACTGTTTTAAATGGAGGGGCAAGCTTATTCTTCACTATCTTCACTTGAACTTGAGTTCCTGTTGTCTGCAAAAGACAAGAGTATGAAAAGAAACTTTGACATGAAGAAGACAAAATAATGAGAACCACTGTAACCAATAAATATATAAATGTTGAGATTTGAACCTAATGATCTACAATTCAACCGCTCAGTTCCCCCACCTCATCACTTCACCATTTGTGCACAGCCAAACCTACCATCATATTGTGCGAATGTAGTTTGCAAAAATAAAAAATAAATAAGGAGCAAAACAGCTCCAATCCAAATATGCCGTCAGTCACAATATGCGAGGACAAAATGTATAGTCAAAAGACACAAGATCCAAGTTCAATTATTCCACTTGTTTACTCATCTTGAATGAGACATAAATCAATAGTAAATAACAATCTTCTACACTAGGTCTGCCGTCTGCATAAACAACTAAGCATGCAGAGGTGGTCAAAACAAACAGATCTCAAGCCAAGAAAGGGCGAGGGGACTAATAGTCACTTCCAGAAAACTCTCTGTAAATAAATGTACTGAATGGCAAGATAGAGGAACCCATTCTTCCCTTTTCAATTTCTAGGTTCCCCCTATTTTTGCTGCCTTCATAAGTCCTGTTCAAGCAAAGCTTACACCAGCAAGTGTTTTTGTTTGTTGCATATCTGGTGCCTTGCTTGGGAAAATATGTTTTGAGTATAGAGTCCAAGCCAAGAATATATTTGTCTAGAGGAGCCAACATGTTCAAAAGATCATGCAAATTTGCTCTATTCCACTAAGTGTGGAAAAGAAGTACCACAGAGGTTCTCCATCATCAGGCAAAATGTCTAAATTCACAAATTGAGAAAAAGATAAAACAGCCATACCTCCTCTCCCTTCTTGATCAACCCCACCCTTCTTATGCTTAGGCGAACTGAAGCATAGAACTTCAGAGCATTACCACCACAGGTTACTTCAGTGGGCCCGCCAAATCCAAAAGTTGAAAGCTTTGCTCTCACCTATAGACAGATAAAGTCAACGAGCAAGCATTATATATCTACACATCAAATTGAAATTAACTTGATGTTGTTGGTATAACTTTGTGACAATACTAGCATAGCCATTCTCAAGCTAAGTTACAATGGACTCATGGTCAGCACATTAATTTTATACAACATGGATCCAAATATATTTTTGACATTGCAGACCAGAAAAAGAATTTAGTAAATAAACTTCATATTCAGAAGCTTGAAGGCATTAATATCAAGAAAAGAAAGCTCAATATTGAGTGCTTACTTTCGACTATGCTACAGGGAAACAGAAGGAAGAAATTAAATCACACATCAAAGAAAAGATATTAGAAAAAAATACATACAAGAAAACACAAGTAAAGCGTCCAAAAGAAGGGAAAAATTATTGAAATCAAGGATAAGCCAAGGATATCTTAAATGATGACCCACAGGCCAAGCTCAACCTAGCCCAATCAGATCAAGCTCAGCTTAGTGCAGTATTAGGAAAAAGCAAAGGGTAGATTTCAAGTAGACCATTTATGCAGAAATTACAGCAAAAGAGGTACAGATTAAACCAAGGTTATTAAAGTCAGGATTTTAAATATTATGGATGGAGGGTCCAAAATATCGAATTGTAATTATAAAATCATACGATTTTATAAATTCTAAAAAAAAAAAAAAAAAAGATAATACAGAAAAATAGATGTATAAAGGAAAAAAAAAGGTTACGAATTAAATTCATAATATAATTTCAATAAAAAATAATAACGTAATATTAATTATAACACATCATCTCAACTTATACACTTGGATAATATAAGAAACTAATAATAGACATTATTTGTCAATGTTCTCAAAAAAAAAAAAAAAAAAAAAAAATCATTCAATGGTGGAATAGCATGAATTTGCCAAATCTATGTAAAACATATCCCTAAAGGTCCAATATGAACTAGGGTTTGAATTATCAAAGGAAAAATTATCCTCTACACGGAAAATGAGAGGACAAGAATATTAAAAAACCCAACAAATTTGCGAAGAACAAAGTGAAAATTCATCTCAAGTCCAACAAGACTATAAAAAATATAGCACATGACTTGCTTAAGGTAACTCATATAAGCCCAAATCATTCAAGATGGAAGTGCAGAGAGGTAGATTAACTATGGAGAGAATTAGAGAGACCAACAAGAGGAAGAAAAATTGCAAAGGCCAGGATTGTGAAATGGAAACCAAAAACAGGCAAAAGAAGAGGACTAGGCATGATAATGGCATCTGCACCACCACCACCATCACCACCACAGAGAGAGAGAGGAGACAGGGACCTAGATGGCAAAGAGTAATTTAAGAGACCTGGTAGTGTTTTCTCTGTCTTCTCAAAGAAAACGTAGGGCATTGGGTTGCCCACTAGTGGAAATAGCCCAAAAAATTCTGCTTTGCTAAATTGTATAAAAATCATCTGAAATAGGGATTTTAATGAAATTGAACAATTTGAATGCCAATCCCATTGTGATTTTAGAAACTTACAATTTTTTTGTGAGAGTTGAATCGTGGTGATTTGGATCATAAAATCATAGGATACAAATCAGGATGTTAATAACCATGCATCAAACCTATTCAGATGATAAACTTATAAACCAACAAATGTCCAGTTCACTAAATTGAAATTAAACTAAGGGAGAACTACCCTTTCTTGGTTCAATTTTTTGGCAGAGGGATTATAATTACAACCCAAAATCGTCATTGTGGAGGGTAAATTTTACCCTTTGTCAATGAGTGTAATAGTTACCCTCCCGACCAATATTATTTCTTTTGTCTCAGAAAAACACTAATGTTTCAATTAATTTCTCTATAAATTTTCACTAACAATTTGCTCTTCAATTTATTAAGACACACAACATCCCTACAAATCAATATTATTTCCTTTCACTCTCTTTCCTTTTTTCTCAGAAAACACTAATCTTTTTAGTATTTTCTCTCTTTCAACTAGCAATAGCAATTTCCCTTCACTATATTAAAACGCCAAACATCCCTAAAAATATTAGAACACCAAACATCCCTAAAATCCAACTTTTACACCCTTAACAATGGCTCTTGTAAAAACTCCCCTTCAATTTTTAACCTTATACCAAATGCACTTAAATAGAAACAGAGAGAGACAAAACAGAACACACTTAATATCTACGTATTATATCATCAGACAATTATTTCTGGGATGCAGACTGCCTTCCTCAGCAGCTATATATTTAATTTTGAATACATGAACTGAAGATGCAGAAAATGAAGTGGGAACAATTGGGAATTAGGTCTCTCAAAAATGTGCAAATGTATTTAAACTGCAAATAAAAAGACGAAAGAAGTACTAAAACTTCATGTATTCTGACATTAGACTACTATTGCTGGGATGAGAACTTTTGTTTTGAAAACCAGAACTGAAGACACATAAAAGAAAGTGAAGGTGCATGTGTGTACTAGCCTACTAGGAAAGAATAGTGCTCTAACGAGTCAAATTTCTTTTATCTGTTTGTAGCCCTAAAGCATTTAGCTAGGTAGTTTTCTTTTCTGTTTTACGACCGTCAGGCCAGGCCAACCTCCATGTGGAACGTAAACAAGTTCTGACCAAAAATTTGAGCCAACCTCGGATCTTGGCTCTGCTCAAGCTCTGATGTAGGTCAGCTACAACAAGCATCAAGAAGGACTTAAATAAAACAAAGCTACTCGAGCTTGACTTAAGTTTGTCTCATCATAAAGACCAGTAAAGCTCGTTCATTACCCAAAGAAACCATACTTACACAAATTTAAAACTAAACTAGCTTCACAAAGAAACTTGCAAATTGAACGGTTAGCTTGAAATATTCAAGAAAATGACCTTTTTTTCACTATGTAATTCTCAAAGTATTATTAAATAATCCTTTCATTTTTTAAGAAAATATGATTACAAGATAGACAAGAACAGAGTAGCAAATGATTTTTAAAAAGCAGACATCTATTTTAGATGAAAAAGAAATATATTGGCATTGTTTACGTTTATTTTACAACCTCAAATTCATTCAAGGCCGTAATAAACGAAGCTTGAACTCTTTTTTGAACAGGATGTTAAACTTGAGTTCAGCACTTGATTTTACTTTGAACAAACCAAACTTGAACAGTATAGTACTCAACTCAATTACCATCCTAGCATGCAATTATTATACTCTGCTCAACCAAATTCACAGCCTGAAGGAAAACTCGAAGAGAAGTTTCTTTGACTGGGTCAAATCTAACCATTTGGCATGACGTCTCGGCCATATTTGGTAAATGACCGAACATGAATTAATTTTGAATGCAAATAAATTTAGGATCTTTTAGGCCAGAACCTTAAATGAATGAGCAAATATAGGTCTATAATTTCAGAGTAAATCAGTACCAATCTCATAATCCGATTTAAACTAAAAAATAACCTAATCTTATCAATGATAGGACTAAGACTACAAAAATGGTACCTGATTTATAAAGACCAGAATAGTTTGTGACTGCGATAAAGAGTGGCTCAGCTTGCGAAGTGCCTGGCTCATCAATCTGGCTTGCATTGCCATATGAGCATCACCCATCTCTCCATCAAGTTCACTTTTAGGCACAAGTGCAGCTACCTATCATTAATCAGAGTAGAAAAATAAAAACTAGACTTAAATCCAAACTGTGCCCTAAAATTCAATGGTATGAATAACTTTAATAAAATAAACTTTAATTAAGCATTATGTCTAATACATGCATGTACTATCTGCAGTGAAAGCTGCATGGACACTGGCTAACAGAACTCCCCTGAAATGATAACCATTACAAAGGACATAAACGAAGGTAGGTAGGAGGGGAGTGGAAAGGGGGACAAATTCTCTTGCCAAGTATTACAGTATACAAACCATCATCCACTTATTACAAGAAACTCTAACTAACAAAGGATTTGATAACAAGTAAGAGTACGAACCAATAAAGCACCTTACTTACACTATCAACAACAACAACATCAACAGAACCACTCCGGATGAGAGTATCAACAAGACTGAGAGCTTGTTCGCCACAATCAGGTTGCGAAAGAAGCAAGTTCTCAGTGTTCACCCCAATAGCCTTAGCTAATGATGAATCAAGGGCATGCTCAGCGTCAACAAAAACACAGTAACCTGCAAAGAAGTTGAAATATTAATGCCATTGAAGAATTGAAGTTCAGTCCTCGACAATTCAGCAAATTTCTTTGACTAAAAAAAATCCTCTACAGCCAATATTTTAAGTAAATATTACTAGAGTAATTGATTCTTAAAATTGTTTCGAACTTACTATTAAAATATCTTGGCAACATGATGATGAATGGTACGAGAATTGACATATCATGTTATTTCTTTCTTTTTTTCGTTAGAAAAGTTATATTTGTGGGATTCAGCCCGGGGCATGGATGTGGACAAAAAAAGACTAAGATTTGTGTTTTATTTAAATTTTAGAATGCAAGGGGTATTTTAGTAATTTTTTCAGGTTTGCTGCAAATCTGGAAATTGTCTAAGTCTAGGCTTTATTTCTGTTTAGTATTTTATTTTCTTAGACCTAAGGTGCTATTTGGTAATCGGGAATAGAGTTGTGGGAATGAAAATGAAAATTTTATTCCCACATTGTAGCTGTTTGGTTAAAAGGAATGAAATGGGAATGGGAATGAAGAGTGGGAATGAAAATAAAAATTTACACACAACTTCGTTCCCACATAAAATGTGGGAATAAAAAACAAGGAATGGGAATGAATTTTTTTTCAAAATAATAATATATTTTATTTATTTATTATCTATTAACTACTTTTGCCACCATCACAACAACCATCACCACCACCACCATCACAACAACCATCACCACCACCACCATCACAACCATAACCACCACCACCATCACAACCACAACCACAACTACAACCACCACCACCATCACCGCAACCACCATTATAACCACCACTACCACTCGCTAATATCATTACGACCACCACCACCACCACAACTATCATTGTCACAATCACAATCACAACCACCATCACTACCGCAATCATTACCACCACCACCACCACTAGAACCACCACAATCACTACCATCACCTTTATTATTTTTATAACTATTATAGTTTAATAAAATTATTTTTTAATAATTATTTATATTTGTATACAAAATCAGATATTAAAAAATTTAAATTGCATTTCGATTCCTTATTAGTATTCCAAACACAATATTGGAATACAAATACCATTCCGATTCCTTAATTTTCATTCCGATTCCCGCATTCCCATTCCCATCACTTTATTCCCGATTACCAAACAGCACCTAAAGTTATTAGGTTTTCCTATTCTAAAATAGGAATAGTTACAGGTTTTCCTATTCGAAATTGGAATAGTTATGTTGAAGGTTTAGAAATCCTTGTCTTAGAAGGATTTGGACTTCCACAACTCTATAAATAGAGAATGTAGCCTATCAATAAGACTGACAGTACATGAATAAAATTCCAGCAATTTACTTTTGATTGTTGAGTCAATCCCCCCTTAGGTGTGACTCCTAAAGACCTACCCACGTATTTCCCCATATTGTAGGAGAAACCGACTTCAATACAACTGTAAACAGCCTCTAAAGACCAGATCCAGAACAGGCCTTAGGCTGTCTTGCATTAGGCATGCTAAGTGTTGCAATAGGTGTACACCTTCTGACAGCCCAATGGGAGGAAAAATGGGCCCATTAGTCCTAACTAGTAACTACTACTGCAAGCAGAATTAAAAGAAATCGTGTACACATTTAAGAAGTAACCTCCTTGCTTCTGTGCTTCAGCAATAACATGTAAAGCAAGAGTGGTTTTCCCAGAAGCCTCTGGACCGAAAATCTCGACCACACGACCCTGCAGAAATCCAATCCAGATATAAAATAAGCAGCAAAACACCCACACTAAACTATGGGGTTTGGTTCTTGCTTGCATTAAAGATATTGAGGTTCTGAATTTATGAAACCAGAAATGAACTATCAACGCCAATCATAAACAATCGATTAAAGCACAATAAACTCAAAAAGATCTCCTCACAAAACTAATATAAACCATTGCAAGGGTAAAAATGCAGGAACAATGCCCATCTTCACGTTGTCGAAGAGGAAAAGAGGTGGGAAACAATGTGGAAGCAAACCAGCAAAGAGCCAAATCTTTTACAAATTACGAAATTTTATGCTTTGTAAAGCAGAAAATAGTTTGCAAAAACAAAGCAACTAAATGGTGGAATGAAAAATCTTGTGATACCTTTGGAAATCCACCGCATCCAAGTGCCATATCAAGGGCAAAAGAACCTGTAGACACGACTGGAACATTTTTGGGAGCTTCGGAGCGGCCAAACCACATGATAGAACCCTTTCCAAATTGACTAGTAATTTGATCAAGGGCTTGTTGCAAGGCCAACTCTTTCTTTGACATACTTTCTTCACCAGACTCACTTTCATCTAACTTGGATTTTCTTTTACCTTATCAAAATAGAAATCAAGCCATTACTGCTTAACACAGCTTCATAATTACAAACAATAGACATCATATCATCATCAACTTTCAGTACCTTTTGTAGAAAAATTGCATATCTGAGTAGATGTTCCCAACACCCCTCTCCTTAACCCCTGCTAAAAAATTTAAAAATAAAATAAGCGAAAACAAACAGTAGTCAAAATGAACAGACTCCTTAGATAAGCATAACATACAATATTGAAGTAGAGACATGGTACCCCGGTACCAACAAGAGCGCGCCTCAGAGTGGAAGCGTTTCGAAGATGCCTCGCCATGGAAAATTTTTTATTTTTTTAATTAAAATAGAGAGAAGAGTGACAGTAAAAGGAAAAGGAACTTATTTCATGCCAGAAAAAAGAAATCATAAAACAGAGTTCAAGAATTTTACAATATCGAAAGAGAGAGAGGGGTTCTGGGTTCTCACTTCTGAGTTCCGAGTTCTGTTTTTAGGGTTTTAACTTTTGGTTTCCCTCCTTTATTGATTTGTCATGAGCTCCCAGGAAAGAGAGGAACTTGTCTGGGCCAGGTGGTTCCAAACCGTACAAAACATAAAAACGGTCAGATTATCAGTATGCCTAAATTCTTTTTTTTTTTTTTTTGACTCCCGCCGCAGCTATTTTGGTATACAGATCATCCTAAATTTTGAAAGAAAAAAAAATCAAAAATAACAAATCGAAGAAATTATATTTCATAAATTCAGCACAAAATCAATAATAAAAAACAGTAAATAGTTGCTGTAAAAAAACACAAAAGAAAGGGGCAAAAAAAAAAGCAACCTAGGCTTGCCGCTTGCACCTTAGGGAATGCAGAAGCAGGCCCGGTTGCCCAAGGCTAGCCCCAAAAAAAGGTATTGGAGTCCACAGGGCACTTGTTTCTGAAACTACAGTAATTGCATTGTAAAATCCTCCAAATCTTTTATTTTGTTATGAAATAATGAATATCCATCGTCATATTCATCCACTTTTCATATTCTCATTACTCATAATTCTTAATATGATTCAATTCATCATTCAATATGAAAAATTGAAAGAGTGATGCAATTGATTATTCATAGTCCTTCCAATTCTCTTCTCAATTTTGAAGCCTATAAATAGGTTTGATTATTCATTAGTTGGTGTATAAGTTTCCTAAAGAGAATAAGAGAAACTTTGAAGTTCTTATCACTTATATTCACATTATAATGATTTCATTTTCTTATCATCCTTTTCTTCAATTCTCCTATTATTTCTATTTATTTTATAACACGTTATTAGCACGAAGCTCTAACCAATTGAGACAATAGATCATGAGGTATGTATCTACCAAAAGATTTAATCAATTATTTCAATAATTGGATTTCTTCTACACAAGTGCTCTACCAAAAAATCTAAATTATTTAGATCATTAAGAGGTATGTATCTAATTTATTCATGTACTTTAAATCTATTGATACATGAAATATATATTTGAAAAACTTAAATGACCTACTAATGATCTAATATATGTTATTTGAAAAGTTTTAATTTTATTATTATATTTGTTCTTATTTTGTAATATTATTATTATATATTGTATTATAGAATTTTTATCATATCAAACCTCGTAAACTTGATTTGGTGACTCTTGATATTTTGAATAAGAATTATTGATTATGAGTGCTTGATTTTGAAAAAATATTCTCTACTTTTTATGTCTTGGATATGTTCCTGCAGTAACATATCGAGAAAAAGAGTTTAAGAAATATTTTGGATCGATTTTATACTTGTTAGTGGCTAAATAAAATGAAAAAAAATAAATCTCATCCAATTGGATCAACTCAATTCCCCGAAGTGAATGTGACAATTTATAATAATTTTAGACATGGATGAAGATGTGGTCATAGCCATGGATATGGTCGAAATAATTATCATTATAATCGTAATGATCATAATATTATATCTCACCACAAGAAGTGGATAACTATGAAAAAAGAAAAAATAGATAAAGTCGATATTCGTAAAATAAATATTATAAATGTGGAATGAATAAATAGCGATCGTGTACCTGTCGTACACCAAAGCACCTCATTGAGGCATATCAAGCCTTATTGAAAAATAAAGAGTAAAATATGAAGGTCACTTTTATATATCAAAGTAATAGTAATTGAAATTAATTACTTGTTAATTTTTCTACTTATAAATAAAATGTTTTATATTTCTTATAATTTATGTCGTATATTGATGGTTACAAATTTATTTTACTATTTATTTATTTGTTTATGTTTATGAGGAATATATTTATTTATTTATTTTGTATTGATTTATTTTATTATTTATTTTATGTTAATATTATATATGATAATATCAATTTAATAGAAAGCTCTAGAAGAACGACTATATTATTATCTATAGAGATAGATTTTGAAGGCTCTAGAAAAGCGATTATATCATGACGTGAAGAGACAAATTTTTGAAGCTCTAGAAGAGTGAATAAATTATTACTTGAAGAGAAAATGTTTAAAGGCTCTAGAAGAGTCGATAAATTATTACTTGAAGTGACTAATTTAAAGGCTCCGGAAGAGCAAATATGTTATTATCTAAAAGGATAAATTTATTATAAATGATGTACTATTCTCTTCAAAGTCTCATAGAAATTTGTTGAGTTTCAAAGATATTCATCCGAATTGATATCATATCAAGATAGCAAATGTGAATACTTATATGTTATAATCATTATATCAAGTAGAAAATATCTATCAAAAAATTTATCCATTTTCTTTTCTAGTTTTTATTACAAATATTGGAATGATTGAAACAAATGTTATAGTAAACCGAAGTTTACTAATTCAAATACTTGTACTATGTGACATGACCAGATATGTTATCTTGGGTCTTTCATGATGCGAAAAAATTAGTAAAAAAATTTATATGAATATCTATTGAAGAGCCAAAAGATTCTTCAATTTAATGAGCTTTCATTTTCCGCATGTTGTCAAGGTAAATTGATGATTAAGCCATCATCAAGTAAGATTGAGATTGAATCTCCAGTATTTTAGAATGTATTCAAGGTGATATATGTGGATCAATTCATCCACCATATCGACCATTTAAATATTTTACGATTTTGATAAATACATCCACAAGATGGTCACATATATGCTTATTATCTACTTGAAACCCGATGTTTTTGAGATTGCTAGCAAATAATTTGATTTCGAGCATAATTTTCAAATTATGCCATTAAAACAAGTCACCTTAATAATGCTAATGAATTTATTTCTCAAGCATTAAATTACTATTGATTAGCTATTAAAATAAAAGTTGAACATCTTGTTGCTCATGTTCATACTCAAAAAGGTTTAGCAAAATCATTTATCAAAATGCTCAAATTGATAACTAAACCATTATTTAAAAACAAAACTCCTTGTTTATGTCTTGGGACATGCAATCTTACATGCAAGCAACACTTATTCGCATATGACCCATAAGTTATCAAAAATTCTCTCCTTTTCAATTGATTTATGGTCATGAGCCAATTATTTCTTATTTAAGAATTTTTGGCATTGTAATGTATATCCTTAGTGCTCCTCCATAATGAAATAAAATGGACACTTAAAAGAAATTGGGAATATATGAATCCTCTTCGATAATTTAATCTCTTGATTCATGAACAAGAGAAAATTTTTACAAACTCGATTTATCGATCGTCATTTTGATGAAATAGTTTTTTCAATATTAGGAGGAGAGAATAAGCAAAATAAACAAGTTGGAAATGTTGAAAAAAGAGATTACATGGAATACTCTATCTTTATATCAATTTGGTACAAAACAATGTGAACTAGAAGTTCACAAGATAATTTATTTACAAGGTATTATAAACCAACTACTAGATGTATTCTCATATCCTAAAAGAGTAAATAAAATGCATGTCCTCATTGAGAATGCTTCTATTAGAATTGATGTCCTGGAAGGACAATCTATTAATGTTATAGCTAATGAATCTAAAGCACGCATGAAGCGTGGAAGACCGATTAGTTCTAAAGATAAAAATCTCTAAAAAAAAGGACAAGATGAAAATATTTATAAAACGGTCTAAGATATTTCGATAATAGGCTTCAGAAGAAGTCCAAATGCTTGAGAAAAATTAAAAGCCTTTGATAAATTATGTCAATACAAGGAGAAAATAAGGACCGAAAAGAAACATTTTTTTGTATATAATGTTTCAATTGATATTTTGAATGAAAATAAGGATCCCGAGCTAAAATTTATTGAAGAATGTCAACATAAAAATGATCGGCCTAAATGAAAAGAGCAATCTAGGCATAATTATGTTCTCCTACAAAAGAGTAGTTTTTTGAACCCATAGCTAAAACACCCGAAGATGTTAAGCTAGTGGGATATAAATAAGTATTTATACAAACATGAAATAAGAAAGATGAGATTGTTAGATACAAAGCAAAACTTTTCAACACAAGAGTTTTTGCAAAGAATTGATATTGACTATGAGAAGACATATTATCCTATAATGGATGCAATTATATTTTATTATCTCATTAGCCTCGATAAAATATTTGGAAAACATTCATATCCATGTATTTAATGAATGTGATCATAATTTATTTTTTCATTTGAGATGAATCAATATGAAAGTCTTAGAAGGACTTAACATGCCGAAGCATGTAATATATATTCTCGAGATAAGAATTCAATTAAATAATAAAGATCTCTATAAGGATTATTTTAATATTTGTTTTATTATTTTGGTTTTTAGAAATTTAATTTATACTTTTATATTTTATTTTTATATCTACTGTTTATTACTAACTCCGCATACATGTGATATAATCACTTCAATTATTATTTGTTGAAAGAAAGTTATATAAAATAACCCTATTTGTTCATATGTTTTTATTTGAAAAAGGGGTTTGTAGTATATGTTGATAACTTAAATATTATTGAAACTCCCGAAGAGATTCCAAGTGTTATAAGTTACCTAAAAAGAGAATTTAATGTGAATATCTTGGGAAAACAAAATGTTATCTCGACCTGCAGTTCGAGCACTCGGAGAATGAGATTTTCATTCATCAATCAATTTATATCGAAAAAGGTTCTACAATGATTGTATATAAAGATCATTCATTGACTAACCCAGTGATAGTTCATTCACTTGATATCCAAAAAGACCCTTTTCGACCTCGAAGATAACGAAGAACTACTTGGTCCCGAAGTACTATATTTTAGTGCCATCGGTGCATTGATGTATCTTGCTAATAATCATAGTTCTGTTTCAATATAGAAACATTGAAATAAAGTTAAAT